CGAAGCAGTGGCGATCGCGATCGCCGCGATAGCGTTTCACATAGTAGCCATTATTGAGAGAAAAAAGGTCTCACATGTTGGATTTCCTTGTCCATCGAAGCGAGCGGTTCAAGTAATAGCGTGGGGGCGCGCTCTGCCCTCTGATCGCCGCGGTCGCCGCTGCTGCCTGAAGTATGAACGCTGCCTAATCCAGCTTACCATTAGCTGAGCTGTCCACTGTCTAGAAATGCACTGGTAACTTGCGCAACCCCCCCCCCCTCGCTGAAAGTCGAATGTGTGGCAATACACGCTTACCGATATGAAATAGAAAAAAAACTACTGCAATATGGGCACCCATATATCAATACCACTGGGCTGGGCAACTAGTAGAATTCAGCGCCTTTATTTTTTCATAACAACTGCACAATTTTTGGTTTGCGCGTACAGGCAGGTGCGAAATGCTTTCCTGTGTTCCATTATGTCGGACACTTGCAGTACCACAACCTACAGGCTTCGCCTACCTTCAGTTTTTCAAAATTATAATGACAGTAAAGGCCATCGAACGATTAGGAGTAAACCAGCGATTTAAAAGAACACATGTTGGAGATCGAAACTTCTCTTTTCACTATGGCCTGTGGGCGTAACATTCATGCTGCGGTGGCGTCACGAAAGCAACACTGGAAGCAGAGTCTCGTGCGGTACATTCTTGCCGGGGACTTAAATACACTTCCCGAGATCAAGTGGTCCTCAGAATGACTCCGTGCCTTTGGAATTGTTATACGCGTTCGAAAAACGTACCACTTCCTCGAAACGGTGGGATAAAGAAGTTAGAGACACGTGAGCGTTGCAACGCGTGCAACATCATACTGTAGCTGTACGAGACAACGGCTCACAAGCTTCTATTCCTACAACATCCGCGCGGCACGTGTCGCGCGCGGCGCTTCTGGCACTTTGCCATCTTCGGTGATCCGCGCTTTCCATAGCGATTAAGCGCAAACCTCGCACCGTTGGACATAAATTGAAGACGACTTAGGCTGTTTTAGAGTTCCATAGTCTTTGCAAGCGCGATAATTAGGAGGATGTGAACAAAAGAGCAGCAAGCCTTTCTTGAGTTTCATACTCTGCAAGCGATGGGAAGGACGTGAACTGAAGAGCAGGTAGTTCGTCTTCCATACTCTTCGCAAGCGCGATTTCAACGAGGAGGATGTGAAATGAAGAGCAGTTAGTGTGTTTCTCAGACTCACCTAATGATCTTCTGGATGGGGTACTATTGTTACTACCCCAATCTTCCGACATCAGACCAGTTTTTCTATCGGGCTTTTCAAAAAGGCTGAAAATTTCTTCTCCAGACCTTCGAACCTCCAAACACGAATATCGCATCGCTTGGCCAGGAATTGCCTGGCGCTCACTTCACGTCCCACGGCTGAAGCTTTACGCTCCGATCGCTACGGAGAGCACGCCCGA